ATGAATAAATAAATAATAACACAATACACTTGGTTGCTAAGGGAAACGGATTCTGCAGCTTCACAGCAGCAGTGATGAAAACATCTCAAGGCACCCCAAGGAATGAATTCCCTCCATGACCTGAACGGACTCACCAGAGGCTTCAGAATGCTTCAGTCGCTTCCAGAAGAGCTAGTCCACCCCACCTGCCCTCATACTCCTCTCCAGCAAGTATAGGGTACAGATGGGTAGGGAGGAAGCATTATTGGGCAGCTTTATGAAGATATAATTGGCATATAATAAAGTTCATGCATTTTGTCATGTGTATACCCCAGGGAAACTATTGCCACAATCATGACACTAAACTTATTCATTTTTTTTTGGTGGCATCTTGATTGCTATAGTAAAAAGACAATGCAGTATGTCCTCCCTTAACATCATTGATAGGTTCTTGGGATTGCTGAGGTCGATTTATAATAGAATAATTTTACTATAGACTAACTGATATAAACAAGAGTTACATTCTTGTGGTCAAATAATCTATGATAGAGGAGGCAAGAATATACAAATGGTATTGGGAAAACTGGACATATATTTGCAAAAAAAATAAGACTAGACCACTTTCTTACACTACATACAAGAATAAATTCAATATGAATTAAAGACTTAAATGTTTAAGACTTGACACAATAAAACTAGAAGAAAACATAGGCAGTAAACTCTTTGACATCACTCTTAGCAATGTTTTTTGAAAATGTCTCCTTGAGCAAGGGAAATAAAAGAAAAAAAATAAATGGGACTATATTAAATTATAAAGGTCCTACTCAGTAAAGGAAACCATGAACAAAACAAAAAGATAACTTGAATGGGAGAAAATATCTTCCAATGATATACCCAATAGAAGTTAATATCCAAAATATATAAATAAATCATACAACTTAATACCAAAGAAACAAACGTTCTGATTAAAAAAAGAGCAGTGTACCTGGATAGACTTCCAAAGAAGACATATAGATGGCTAATAGATATGTGGACTCATACTCAAAAATCACTAATCATCAGAGAAATGCAAATTAAAATCACAATGAGATATCACCTAACACCTGTCAGAATGGCTATCATGAATAAATCAGCAAACAAATGTGTTGATAAAAATGTAATGAAATGAGAGCCCTTATACAATGTTGGTAGGATTGTAAATTGGTGCATCCACTAAAGAAAAGAGTATGGAGATTCCTAAAAAAGAACTACCATATGACCCAGCAATTCCACTGCTGAGTATTTTATCTGAAGAAATCCAAAACACTAATCCAAAAAGATATATGCACCCCTATATTCACTGCAGCCCTATTTACAAGAGCTAAGTATGGAAGCAACTTAGTGTTCAATAGATGAATGGATCAAGATGTGATACACACACACACACACACACACACACACACACACACACACAAGATGTGATACACACACACACACACACACACACACTAGCACATGCATACAATGGAATATTAATCAGCCATAAAAAAATAAAATCTTGCTATTTGTGACAACATGGATGGACCTAGAGGGTATTATACTAAGTGAAATAAATCAGATAGAGAAAGATAAATACCATATGATTTCACTTATAGGCTGAATCTAAAAAATAAAACAAAGAAACTCATATATATACATATATATTAAAATGAAAAAATATATACATATATATGTATACACACGCACACACACACATATATAAAATAAAAGTGTGACATGCTAATTAGGCCGGGTGTCCTTTAGAACAACCTTCTGGACGTAGCCAGGGCTGTGAGGGAAGCGTGGGACCTGGGTGCAGAAGCTGGTGCCAATAGCCAGGGGAAAGAAGGCCTACTCTTGCACGAATTTTGTGCATTGGGCCTGTAGTGTGTGTGTGTGTGTGTGTGTGTGTGTATATATACATATACATATACATATACATATACATATATATATATATATATATATAGAGAGAGAGAGAGAGAGAGAGAGAGAGAGAGAGAGAGAGAGAGAAAGACAACAATTTGATGGTTTCCAGATGGGAAGGGTTAGAGAAATTGGTGAAACAGGTGAAGGGATTAAAAAATGATGCAAATTTCCAGTTTAAAAAGTTGTCATGGGGATGTAAAGTACAGCACAGGGAATATAATCAATAATAGTCTAATAACTACTAGTATGTATGGTGTCAGATGAGTACTAGATTTATTGGGGTGATCACTTTGTAAGTAATATAAATGCCCAATCACTCTATTGCACCCCTGAAATTAATATAATATTGTTTGTCAACTGTAAATTATATAATATTGTTTGTCAACTGAAAATTATATAAAAGTGCCTATGAAGACCTTATTTATGTGCTCTTTATTGTAAAGTATCTCATACAGTGTCATGTATAATTTAGTTGCAAAATAGACATAATTTTTTTAAAATATATTTTTATTGTTTTTTTTTTTTTTTACAGAGAGGAAGGGAGAGGGATAGACAGAAACATCTATGATAGAGAATCATGGATCAGCTGCCTCTTGCACGCCCCCTACTAGGGATGTGCCCAAAACCAAGGTACATGCCCTTGACCGGAATCGAACCTGGGACCTTTCAGTCTGCAGGCCAATGCTCTATCCATTAAGCCAAACCGGTTTCGGCATGAAATAGACATAATTTTAATATTTAAGGTTAATTTTAAAATCATGGAGTTTTATTACATGATTCTTACAAGTAATAAATCCAAGAACTAATTTTGTTATTTACTAGGAAGATTATACCTTAAAATTAGAAGTAATGTTCTAGGCCAGAGGTTCTCTGACTTTTAATCACCTGGAGGGATTATTAAAGGAGATTCCTGGGTTCCACCTGCAGTGTTTCTGAGTCAATTGACTTGGGGTGAAGCCCAGGGACTTGCATCTCTAACAAGTTCCAAGTGATGCTGATATTGCAGGTCTGGGGACTACATGTTGGCCCATGCTCTCCCCAAGTGCCCGGCACTGGTTGGCTCTGTTGATTGGACACCATGAGAAGAAGAGATCGGCAAGGATGGAGCACCCTGTCCTTCTCTAGGAACCATCTTCAGCTACTCACTGCCAGCCACCCTCCCACAAAAGGCTTCTGCTCCCCTTGTTCTTTGTAGCTGAAGAATAAAATAAGTCTGACATGTCTGGGAAAAGGCCCTGGAAGACCATGAGAGCTAGAACATCCTGAGAACACATTTATAGGAATCATGGGTCTAACAGATCATACCAAAAGGTTAAGGCAAACTCATGACCTCCTGAAGTTATATGAAAGTATGTAATTAATGCATTGTTGTTTTTTTTGGAGTGATAAACAGACTGTTAAAAACAAAAACATGGAACAATTTCCAGCTCTAGAAAGAAGAGTAGTGTCATAAGAAAACAGGATTATATCTTAGGCCTTGGAGTTGTCCATTTTCTGTGTGGAAACTAGTTCTCGTACCTGCTAAAGGACCCTAGAAAAGCACACTTCAAAAACTTTGATAGATCAACTTTATTCTTCAACCATGAGCTATGAAGGAAAATGAGTCTGTATGGATTCATACCTGACCCTCAGTATTATGGACCCCTTAGTGACTAGATGGGCACAGTCACCTATAGGTTAACTTCTAGCCAGTTGACTCCTGGACATACAGATAAATGTAAGTAGCACTCCTCTAGAGATTTTATATATATATATATATATATATATATATATATATATATATATATATATATATTGATTGAGTTCAGAGAGGAAGGGAGAGGGAGGGAGAGAAATATCAATGATGAGAAGAAATCATTGATCAGCTGCCTCCTGCATGCCCCACACTAAGGATTGAGCCCACAACCCAGGCATGTGCCCTGACCTGGAATTGATCCGTGACCTCCTGGTTCATAGGTCAGTGCCCAACCATTGAGCCATGCTAGCGGGGTATCCTCTGGAAATTTTTATAAAAAGTAAGGTAATGAGAACACTGAGAGCTGAAGTGTCAGCCAGTCATTCTTATACAAGTCCAGTAATAATTAATAACAAAAGTGGCTTATTTTGAAAAAAAATATTAAAAAAAATAAATGTGTCTGACAAGTCAATCCTCATAGACCCAAAGACAAAATAATTACCTCCAATCCCCAAAACAAATTTATTTGCCAGACCACAAATAGTAAGACATATTTAGGTAAAAGCAGAAACATTATAATAGGAAAACATGCTATATTCAAATATTTATATTAAAAAATGTCAGTAGTGGTGACATTTCCAATTTAATAATGATGACTTCTCTTCCTAGACTAAGCTAGTACTGAACATAAATTTTTTATTTATTTTCTTTATTTTGGCAGACAAAATATAAAGCTTGCTATTGTAATCATTTTCATGTGCACAGTGTTGTGGCATTCAGTACATTAACACTGTTGTACAACCATCACCACCATTCAAACTCAGATTTATTTGCTGAATTGATTATCCCCTCCTTCAACACAATAAAGTCAGAGGTAGCATGTATGGGTAACGTGGGTGTCTTTGTAATATGGTATCAAATTATTGGGGTTATCCTAAGTTTTCTTGAGGAAAATTAAATGGAATGAGTTAAGTTAAAAAAGGAGCTAAATGAGTGAACTCAGATGCATGCCTAATTGTGGGTCTTCTCAGCTCCCCCACTTTAAATTAGGAGTAACATGAACCTGGTGCCAGCTGCTGCTACTTGGACACCCTCTTATTCTAGACCTATGCACACATTACTCTGTAAAGCCTGCACTCTTTCCCACTGAATCTCAGTCTTTCTCCCCAAGGCCCTTCAGGCAATATCACAGCTAATGACCACTGGCCCCCAGGAGGAAACCTGCTTCCCATCTCCATAGAGAAAATGCAGGCCACCTGATGCCACAGGAAGCAACCATCAGCTGGGCTGCTTTGCATGTGCGCTGCACTGCGTATGCACTGGCCAAGTCTTCAATGTGGGGTGTCGCAAGGAGGGTTCTTTAGCATGAAAATGTCACACACAAAACAAACCTTCTTACCTGGGCAGGAACACACTTTCCACCACGTAGAAGTCTTGCATGAGGACATCTCGGTCTGGTTTGGAAGTGAGATTCCCCACTGTGTATCCTATTCCCAGTTGGATAGCACCTTTGATGGCAGAGGATGCAGTCTGCAAAGCAAACACGGGTCCTGGGATTAGCCTCAATAGTCAGGGCTTTGTTCAGTGTTACCAGCTGCGAAAAAGGAGGGAGATTTCCTTTTCTGCTCTTCAGTGAGAGAAGCTAGGCTTGGAGAGACCACAGGCTGCTGCTTTTGATGGAGAGCTCGTTCCCAACACCAAGGACTTTCCTTGTCATGAAATTACTTGTGATAATCCTTCCTACTGATATTTTAAAAGTCGAATTATAGTTCCAAGTCTCCATCTTTCTTTTATTGAGAACTGTGAAACTTGCCAGAACACTTTCAGGAGGTAGCACCATAATGTCTACCGAAAGATAAATGGTACATTCATTTTTTTAAAAAAAAATTCAGGAGTTCTATACTGTACTTATGGGTCAGGAAAAATATTTTGTCTTCATAAAAAATGAGAGAACAAAAAATAATTTGAGTTTTAGGAATACACAAAATTTAATTTAAAAATTGCTTACTAATATCACCATTGATATAAATCCACAATCAAAATTTCCTATACCGATCTGTGATAAAACACATAGCAATGGCTCACCAGTCTTTCCAAAGTACCATTTTTCCAGTATCATTCTATAATTAAATTGACATAATGTTAATTTGGGGAATTATTTTCACATTTGTATATTGACATGTGTGTGTATATGAATATATATGTATATATAGTTGTAATCAACATAATAGGAGATATAGAATAAATCAATTTGAATGCATTCTTCTCAATGGTGAAAATGTATCATATTTCTATGCCTTGCAGTGCCTAATGTAATACTATGTATACAGAAGGAGCTAAATTAATACTTAAATCAGTGGTTCTCAACAAAGAATATCTGGCATTGTCTAAAGGCATTTTCTGGTTGTCATAACTGGTGAGGTAGTTTTACTACTGGCATCCAGTGGGTAGAGGCCAGGGATGTTACTAAACATGCTACAATGCACAGAACAGCTTCTCATCACAGGAATTATCCAGCCCAACCATCAACAGTGCTGAGGTTAAGAAACCTTGACTCAAGTGAATATAACAGAAATTATCTATTTTTGTAAAACAATACTTTCTTTTTGAGTTAATTTTTTTACTTAGCAGCCCTCCACCCCCAACATGCTTTATTTGTTTTTATTTCTTCACACTTTTAACAAGAACCTCTCTCTCTTCTTGAAAAAAAAAAAAAGTATCCTCTTGATTTCTATGATAGAACATGGTCTTAGGACAACTTTTACCTTTTCCAGTGGCCTCATTCCTTTATTGACTTATATTCAATTTGCTATAACTGCAGCCTCCCTAAAGATTTGATCACTGACCCTCAGATTTCCTTAATTATATAATCAATCCTTTCTTAATGGCTTCAAAAACTATCTCAATGCACATGACTCTCAGGCCCTGTAAGCCTATTTGGATACTGTTCTACCATCACACATCCAGCATATACAAACCAAAACTAATATCTTATAACCTTCCCACCCCACCACCAAGACTGGTTTCTTTTTCTCTCTCTCTCTCTTTTTTTTTTATTAAGGTATTATATGTGTACATTCCTTACCAATCCCCACCCCATCCCCACTCCCATACATGCCCTCCCTCCCCAGAGTTTTTCGTCCATTGGTTATGCTTATATGCATGCATACAAGCCCTTCAGTTGATCTCTTATCTCCTCCATATCTCCCTAACCTCCCTGCTGTAATTTGACAGTGTGTTTCTTTTACTGTCTCTGTATCTATCCTTTTGTTCATCAGTGTATAATGTACAAGACTGGTTTCTTTCTCTAAGGCACTAGAAGCCTCAGTCACCCAAGGCTGAACCCCAGACAAACCACATCTAGCACAGGGCTGAGGACCCCAATAAATACGTGCTGAAATGGCCACGATCAATCTGTCCTGTGTAATCATCCCACTATCACTTTCCCACGAAGCCACCATTTAATTGCTTTGCTTCCTCCACTGAAAATATTCCATAGCCCTTCGTCTGAGGACAACCACCGACCACTGCCCTCCTTCCTGCAGGAGATGGAAGACTGTCTTGGTGGTTTTCTCTTTTCACTTGTCTTTTTACTAAAGATCCTGGGGGGCGCGAGATGGCAAAAGACTGAGACTCAAGAGCATAGAGCAACTGGTGCTTTTAAAAAAAAGAAAGAAAACAAAACAAAAGAAAAAAGTTTGCTATTTTAATATTCCCTCGCTGAGCTCTGCCATGCCACCACTTGGCACTGGTGACCTTTTGTACCGACAGCTCTGACTTCTGAAGGCTGGCATGCTTCTCATTTTAAGCTCTCATAAAAATTCAAAAGGCATCTCTCCTCCTATCCATCACTACAAGATGTGACATCAGTACTTTCCAGACGACCCAACTCCAAAACGTTCTGTTCCAGACCTATCAATAGCCCCACATGCTCTCCAAGCTTGCCTTCCCCTCCCCACGCCCCACCTGACTCTATTTCTGCTTAATTCAGTCATTTAACACTTCATGGGCTGGAACATCTGCCAAACAGATGGAGTAGCCAAGTCTTTGTTGATGGCCCTCCGCCCCCTCCCCTGCCTGCCCCAGCAACAGAAAGCAGTCAAGGTTGTAGGCGTCTATATCTTGTGTTTTCAAACTTTAGAAAACAGAAGACTCACTGGAATGCTTGTTAAAACAGATGGAAGGCAAAACCATGGAGACAGTAAAAGGATCAGTGGTTGCCAGGGGCTGGGGGAGGGGAGGGATGATTAGGCAGAACAGAGAGGATTTTCAGGGCCAGGAAAATACTCTGAGTGATGCTATCATGGTGGATACATATCATTACACATTGGTCTGAACCCACAGAACGTACAACCCAAGAGCGAACCATAGTGTAAGTGAGGACTTTGGGTGATGATGTGTTCACACAGGTTCATCAATTGTAACCAATGCACTACTTTGGTGGTTGGTGGTGGTGGGGTGTTGGTAGTGGGGGAGTTTGTGCATGTGCAGGAGGTAGATGGGAAATCTCTGTACCTTCCTCTCCATTTTTCTGTTAACTTACTCTAAAAAATAGACTTACAAAAAAAAAAAAAAATAAATCAATGGGCATTGAAAACCAAATCAAAATCAAAACCAGACCGGTGGGTGCAGCCCCACAATTTCTCACTGAGAAGGTGTGGGGTGAGATCTGTTCTTGCTTTAAGGGGCACTGAGAAAAAAGGCCATCTTTCCCCTGTAGTGTAAGATCAGATTCTGAGTCCTGGAAGAAATAAGATTCTGGAAAGGCCCCTGTTGACATCTGTCTAGTTAAAACAAAAAACAGACTTGTAATACAATTGCTTTTCCCTTCAGGCTTCTTAAAATGCAAGTGCTCTGATAGGAGAAGTGATAGAAACTGCAAAAAAAAACTTAATCTCTTTTGAGCAACCATTCGTGCCGGACACTTGATGGATAACCACAATGATTATCACCATCTGTCACAATCATAGCACATACTCATACAGTGTTTACTAAGGGGCAGGCACTGTTTTAAGTGCTCTTTGATCCTCACAATGACCCTAGGAAGTTGGTACAGTCATCATCTCCATTTTACTGACTCAGAGAGGGTTAGTCACTTACACGAGGTCACACAGTGCAGAGGTGGAGACGGGACTCAGACCCGGGGAGTTTGGCTCTGGAGTTCAAGTTATACACAGGAGCACTGCAGCCAGTCAGAACCTCTGAACTCACTTAACCCCTTTCAAGAACCTTGCAAATTAGCAACTACCACACCATGTTCCAGGTGGGAGGTTTAAGGCCAGCAAGGTTAAGCGACTCCCCCCATTACATTGCTAGTGTGTGGTGGAGTCTGGATGCGAAGCCCACCATGTTTACACATCGTTTTGTTGTCTTATGTTTTTGTTGTTGTTGTTTTCAAAATAAGCCTAAAATCAAAGTCGGAAGTTCTCCTTAAAGTCTGGCTGCTTGACCTCAAGCAAAGGTAGCAGCTTGGTGAAGCCATTCCTTTTGATGTAGGGATAAAAATGTTTTATTTGATTTAAGTCATATGGAACCACAGGGAAGTCCAAGGAAAACCTGTAAGCCACTTGGTAAACCAGCATGAAGACCACTGTTAATGTCACTGCTAGTAACATGGGGAGCTATAAACACAAGGAGGCTGCCACAGGAGGACCGGCACCTGGAGGTTTCCGGGTCCCGTCTCTGGGTAAAAGTAAAGGCCTGAGCACTGATGCGTGTGGGCGTATTAAAAAGCATCTTGCCTACTTCAAGGCAGTGTCTGGTCGTGCTCACGGTGCCTGTGGTTTCTTGAGTCACAGGGGTAAAGGTCCCATCACCTGACATTTCCCCGAGGCAGACAGGTGGGGGAGGCCGCAGTATTTCCTACCACAGCCTCTCCTGAGCAAGACGTGGCTGAGAACTAAAACCGAACCACCGCCTGGAGTGTCTCTGATTAGCAGATTAGTAAGTCATGATGATGACCAAGAACCTTCCACGTACTGCAGGTGGTTGCTCTTGAGCCATCAGCCCTCTCCTCCTTTCTCAGGGACCCCCACCAGCAGGACAGCAAGTCCTTAGCGAGTCTACAGCTTCTCACACACGCTCAGCCCTTCCGATTTCCTCTGCACGGCTTTGCGAAGGCTCTCAGAGAACTGAGGATGGGCCATCTTCCCAAAGGGGACCTTTGACTCCTTTATAACATATAGCGCTAGATTTCAGAATATAGCAAAACGGCCTATTTTTGATTCAGCACTTTTCAAGGGCTAAGTGGAGGCCACAAGCCTGGATATTAGAAAAACCTCTAAGACATCTGATACTTCAAGAGAAAAACCATAGAATATTACAAAAGCAAATCATAAACATTTACTTCCAGAGATCCTCTTTCCTAACCCAAACTTGTTCAGGGATGAAGGTAATTCTAAGAGGAAAATGAATGTCAGCTTGCATGTCTGTAATGTAGTTTATTTTTCAAAGCACTATATTTTTTAATGATTGCATTTGATCACCACAGTTGTTACAGAAATAGGGTTTATAACGCCCATTTTATGATT